TCTTTCTCTATGAATCATACTCGTTATTTTACAGCAAATCTTGCACAGCCGATTAATTTTTCACCAGGAATTAGACAGTTGCGCAGCATCATACTGTTTTTTGAAGGGCATCCCATAACAGTTGAAGACTTATTGCGCTTCATCTTCAATCGTGCTGAGGTTTTAAGGGTGTTAGATTTGAATTGGTCTGATTCATGTGCTCATTTATATGAGTCAATTCCTCAAGAAATAAAGAAACCGATCCATTTGAGGCTCCTTAACTTGTCTTTCAGTAGCAGATTGAGAACATTGCCTGAGTCGCTTTGTGAATTACTTAATCTGCAATCATTGAACCTCAAGGGCTGCGAGAGTCTTGAGAAACTGCCAGATGGGATGGGAAACTTGATCAGCTTGAGATTTTTGCGGACTTCAGGTTGTTGCAGTCTAACTTGCTACCCCAAAGGCATTGGGAGATTGACAAATCTCAAAGATGTATATGAGATCTCTGCCAGAGCTGATAGAAATGACCCTAAAGAATTCAGTCTTTGGGGCCTGGAAAACATGGACAACCTTTGTACTGTCTGGATGAAACTGAAAGGAAATGCAATAGATATGGGGGAGGCCACAAGAGCTAGATTTGAGAATAAAACACAGTTGAGGGATTTCAGAGTATATTTGGATGGGGATTTGGATGAGGATGAGGTGATTCAAGCTTTCAACCTGCCTTCCTCCATAAATGTCCACTTCTCCAATGCCAACTTCGAGTACAAGTAGCCGGCATACAGATATGGCAGGCAAGCCTTCTACACTTTAAATTGGAATAAATGTTGTATGATCATCTTCTCTTTATTTTTATCAGTCTGACTATCCATGCTGTGTATGCTGCAGCTTCTTTTATCTCAAGACATGCTTGGTTTGGTTGTTATGTTACTCCCAAAGGTAAATGATTTATAATATTACTAATTTTGGACAAACATCTCCTTTGTTTCTAATTGGAAATTATCATTGCTGCAGCTAGCTTGTATATATAGAGTTAAAAAGAAGAGATTGTTTTGTAGGAAGCACGAGGGGTGATGGAAGTATTGATGTCCGAAGAGCTACTAGGTAAGCTGGTTTTATCCGTGAAGAAGAAAGTTTTGGTGAGAAGCTGCTAGCTGGTTGGTCTGTAATTGAACTTTGCAAATTGTGAGTGATTCGTGTGATTTTCTACTCTATGCAACGTGTTATGTTGCGTGATAATTTACTTCTAATTAGAATAAGTAGCTTTTAAGCTTACAGCTATTGGAACAAAAGCATGTGTGCTATTCACAAGTCCAACCAAGCCGGCTCCATGAACACACTTCGGCCTAGAAGAGTGCTGTAAATGTTGACTGATGTGTTACTTTGAAGCTGGAATGGCTCATATCACATATGTTGAATCTGCAGAGAAAAAAAAAATGATAAAAGGAACAAATTTCAATCCAATTAATAAATAAAAAGTAAACTGAAGCTTTTCGAAAGACAAAAGATCCATTCCAAATTCCAATCTTGATTGTGCAGAAAGTTTAATTCAACTTTCATAAAACTCAAGAAATAAGCAAAAGTATCCTTATAAGGAAAGATAATTTTTTGCTAGAATTGTTTCCGGATGTGTTGCTTGGACATCTAGATTAATCAAAAGAAAAAAAAAAGTAAAAAAAATCTGAAAAAAAAAGAGATTTAATCCACATTCTCGGCAAAAGGTACCCGTTTGCCCCTTAACTTTTCGATTTTGAGGGTTTTTACATTCCATATTACAATACATGAATTTTTACCCTTCATATTTTCGAGTTTGAGGAAATGAGGCAAAATTTAACGTCGGAGCGTCACGTGCAGCACGTGCACCGTTGGCCTCCGTCAAGTGTGCACATGTCAACGCCACCTGAGACTTTTTTGACAACTTAGCATGCCAACTTGGAACCACATGAGCGGAAAATCTACCTGTTATCAATTTTATATGTGGGTCCCACTGCTAACTAAAGGTTTTGAAAAAAAAAAGGTTAAATCCTCGATTCAGTCCCTTAATTTTTATTTTTAAACTAAATTTACCCTCAAAACAAAATAT